CCTTTCGGGGCAGTGGCAACCCTGGGTTCCAGGCCTCCCAGATGGGGTCGGAGCAGACGGGGTCGGGGGATTGTGGCGCATCGCCGATGCATCGGCGATGCATCGGCGATATGCGGCTCGATGCGGAGGCCCAGTTTTCTCCACGCCGACGTCGCCGATGCATTGCCGACGTCGCCAGTGCATCGCCGATGCATCGCCGATGTATCGGCGGTGCGGCGGAATCCTCCGACCCCATCCACCCGGGAGCCCATCTAGGAGGCCTCCATGGGCGTCGGTCTCGTCCCGGCGCGCGCGGCCGGCCGGTGGTCCTCTCTGCCCGGAGGTGGGACGGCCGGCGCGGTCGCGGCTCGGCCAGGAAGTGGGGGAGGGAGAAGGGGGCGGAGGAAGGGAGGGAGAGAGGAGGGGGGAAGGGAGGGACGCAGCTCGAAGTTTGAACTCTCGACGGTGGCTTTCCATTCGACGAATACCGAGCTGGGGAAAGTCCAGCACTTGAATCGTGTGCGGCCTCGCTGACCAGACCCGTTCCCGCTTGCCCGGCGGCCCCCACGGCAACGGGGTGCGGGGCCAACTCTGGCGCCGCCGGGCCGAGATGGGAGGGGGGAGAGGGAGGGAGGGAGGGAGGGAGGGAGAGGGATTCGAGGGATTCTGCCAGCACGTAGTGGATCGAATAGCGCGCCACCCCCTGAACTCGATGAGCACCGCGGCGAAGAAAAACGGGAGTCCCACCCATGGAGCCAGCCGAGAAATATGCGGAAGACGACGAAAGCGAACGTGATACCGCCAGATGAGTCTATCCACCAAGAAGATCCTCACTCCGTCCAAGCCAAGCCGCCTAGAGTGGGTCCATTTTGAACTCTGCGAGAAACACGCCAGAGTTGATGGAACGAGGGAGATGAAGCCCACACAGAACGCCTAGGCATGTGCGGAAAGAGGGGAGAGAAGGGGAGGAGTGGGGAGCGATGGGGGAAAGGGGGCGTGGAATGGAGGAGAGGACGACGGGGGAGGCAGGCCAACACAATGCTTGTTTGATATGTTGCTTCTGTGGCGAGTGCATGTACATGCGCGCGCGTGTAACACACACACACACACACACAACACACACAGACACACACACACACACACACACACGCACACACAAGCACACAAGCACACACACACACACACACACACACACACACACACGCGCGCACACACACACACACACACACACACACACACACACACACACACACACACACACACACACACACGCGCGCGCGCGCGCGCGCACGCACGCACAACACACACAACACACACACACACGCGCACACACGCACACACGCACACACGCGCAACAACACAACAACAACAACAACAACAATCATTTTACCCGAACGCTCAGTGTTCTCACCAGTGCCAGGGTTTTCATGCGACGCGAGACAATACCCCCACTTCGTGGGGGGGCAGTTCAAGCTCTACCAAATATCCAAACGACTCTTCGCGACCACCCAAACCCAGCTTCCCGCCCTATGACGTTGGGACACTTCACTTCGTGGCGTGCGGACGACCGTGGCTACTACACTGGCGTGGGGTACACACCCACAGAACTTGGTCACTTATTCGGGGCGCGCGTGTGCCCAGCATCCTGCAATTGTGACATACAATACATGACACAGACAGACAGAGAGAGAGACAGAGAGCAGACAGAGAGAGAGACAGAGAGAGCGGAGTTGGTCACATTTTTGGGGCAAGTTCCTGAGATCGTCGTGTTTTTTGTTGGTCTTGCGCGCGCGAATGTCCACTTTACTTTTTTTTGCAAGGGATGAAATTTGATTATGTTAGAACAAGAAAAAGTAGCTCGCGCGAGCTCATGTAACATAAATGTTGAAAAACCATTGGTTTTGTGGGAGTCGGACAGCGCGCGCGGGATGAAATTTGGACATTTTTTTTTGAAAAACCATTGGGTTTTTGATGTTTTTATGTTGAAATCGTTACGAAACCTAAGGTTCTGGAAGGATTTCGTCTTGCGCGCGCGAATGTCCACTTTACCTTATTTTTTGCAAGGGATTATTGAAATTTGATTATGTTAGAACAAGAAAAAGTAGCTCGCGCGAGCTCATGTAACATAAATGTTGAAAAACCATTGGTTTTGTGGGATTCGGACAGCGCGCGCGGAAGGACATTTTGACAATTTTTTCTTAAAAAACCATTGGGTTTTTGATGTTTTTATGTTAAAATCGCTACGAAACCTAAGGTTTTGGAAGGATTTCGTCTTGCGCGCACGAATGTCCACTTTACCTTATTTTTTGCAAGGGATTCTTGCAATTTGATCAAGTAAGAACAAGAATTTTCATTTTATAGTGTTTTTTGCAAGGGAAAGCGGGGGGGAACAAAACAACCGGATCTGGCATAATCCACTTTTCTGAAGCTTTCGCGAAAAAATGATGAAAATGAGGCTGCGGCCTAGGTTTTGGAGGGGGGTCGTGCACCAGGGGTCCCAACAATAATTATTCTTAAGAAGAAATAATGTTCAACAACAACAACAACAACAACAACAACAACAACAACGACAACGACAACGACAACGACAACGACAACAACAACAAACAAGATCAAAAATAAACAAGCAAGCAAACAAGCAGACAGACAGGCAATCAAACAAACAACGACAACAGCAAGAACCATCATTAAGCTTCGAGCGATCCCCACCGAAACCTTGCTGGATGCGTTTTGGGCATTGCGGGCCAGCGTGACGTCGTAAGGCCTGGAATTTGTCATATGGGTGAACGTGGAGCGCTTAGGGTGTAGCCATGGGACAATCAGATCACTAGTGTATTAGACTCTACTATGTTGTGCTCGATACTGCCCTCGTAAACTATATGTCGCTATGCTATGTTGTATTCGTAACGGGCTAGCGTGGCATCGTGATGCCTGTCTCGTTTGATACGCAACTGAGTACGGTATGTTGTGTCATGTTCCCTTTGCAATGTTTCTCTACGTCGTGTTCTCGTATCTCGTGTTTAGGTATGGCGTGTTTCGCCATGATCCAGTATGTGTCGCATGTTACGCTATGTTATGTTATGTTATGTTAGACCGTGCGGACGTATGTCCTGTTGTATTGGTATGTTGGTTGTTATGTCATGGTGCGGTGTATTATGGTATGGTGCGCCATAACTTACATCAGCATGATCTGAATTGGTTTGTGACTGGTCATCAGATACTTCAATATTGGATTCAGCTATAGTGTGGAATCACTTGCCACGTCCTGCTAGTACGATGGCTTCTTTTGTTATGCTATTGTATGACATGGTATGGTCTCTGTTACGTGACGGGCCACGTAGGGTTCCCCACGGAATCCGTGGCGGTCCTGAGGATCTGGCGGCCGCAGTGTGTGTATTGAGCGCCAAGAAATTGTCGCAGCGAAAAACCGATGATGATAACACAATTCATTTTCGAAACAAAACACCTGTAAGGAAATAACAAAAACAACAAACAAAAAAGCTCAAACAACCTTCGATAACAAAAAAAACAACAAAAAAGTTTTGAAAAATCATGTTATGGATGTATCAGCAATTGCGCGAGCATGCCGCGCCCAGATCCCGAGAACTTGCCCAGGTCCCGGGACCTTGTCCAAAGTCACCCCACCTGATTTGTGCTATGTCCTCCCCTCGCTGTGTTATGCACGCCCCACCTCCCTAACATACCCCCCTCCCTGTGACGCGCCGCCGCTCGAGACATCCCCACGACCGCGGTACCGCCGCTCGAGGCATCCTCGCAACCGCGGCGCCGCCGCCTGGGACATCCTCACACGAGGGCGGCCGCCGCTCGAGGCATTCTCACAGCCGCAGCGCCGCGGCTCGAGACATCCTCACAACCGCGGCGCCGCCGCTCGAGACATCCCCACAAACTCGGCGCCACCGCTCGAGGCATCCTCGTAAGCGCGCCGTCGCTGCTCGCGACGTCCTCACAACCGGGGAGGGCGGCGGAGGAGGTGGGCAGGTCCTTGTGCGTCTCCTCCCCCTCCACCTCGACCCTTCTGCCAGGGCCCCTCCCCTGCAGTCCCCTGGAGAGTCCGGGGAGGAGGGGAGGAGGAAGGGGAGGATGCGGAGGCGAATGGGCCCCAGCCCCCGCCCCCTGGACGTCCGGGCCCTGTTCGCCCGAGACGTCCTCGCACTTCTGGGCTCAGACATGCTCTGGCCTGCCGGTGGTCTGGCCCGTTTCCCCTGAGACATCCTCGCACCTCCAGGCGCCGAGACGGCCCACCTGACCTCCCGGGGGTGGGTGTCCAATTTCTGCTGCCCAGGTGAGCCCATTTCGGGGCAGCCCTCGCGGCGGAATTAGCGTTGCCCCGTCCCGTTTCGCCGGAGACGTCGTCGCGTGTCTGGGCCCCGATATGCCCTGACCCGAGGTGGTCCGGCCAGTTTCCCTGTCCCTGTGAGCCGGGAGGAGCAGGATGCAGCCCTCGCGACGATGCAAACTCCCGTCAAGATGACAAGCTCGGCCAACCCCCCGGCCAACCCCCAATAACCGGGCCAACCCTCCCGGCCACCCCCCTCCGACCAGCCTTGGTTAAGGAAATTCCTTCCATGAGATACAGATACCATGTGTGCGTCTGCACCCGATGGGCGTTGCACACCGAGAAATCTTGCAGTGCATGCTCCGTGGCGGGCGCTTTCGCTCGGGACACGATATACCGCAAGATGTCTGCACTACATGTCCGGATCGGACGTGCGCCTCCAGAAGAGGCACACGGTGCTGCAGCGTGTCCCTGTGCGTGCCCTCCGTGGACCCCCCACGCCCCTGCCGAAGACGCACCCGAGAGGAAGGCCCCGAGAGTCCCCTGGGGAAGGTCCCGAGGTCCGGGGCCCGTGCCCCCCAGGACCTCCCGCCCCCTGGCGCCGAACAGGACGGGGGGCGAGGATCGAAGGGAGGAGGAGGAGGAGGAGGAGGAGGAGGAGGACGAGGAGGAGGAGGAGGAGGGGGAGGAGGGGGAGAGGGGGAGGAGGAGGAGGAGGTCCGGTGCCATTTTGGCTCAAGGTTCGGGACAGGCCCGAGGTTGAGCGCGGCAGCTCCTCTGGAGCCATCCAGCTGTCAAAGGCTGGCGGGCATCTCCTTTCGTCAGCTTTCTCTCCCCATGCCCCCTGCAGATGCTCGTTCTGGCAGGGACCGCTCCCGTTCCCAGGAACAGCCGGGCGCCCCATCGGGCAAAGGCAAAGGTGGCGCAGGCCGAGGGCGAGATTCATCATCGCTCATGGAAAGGACCGAAGTGTTCCCCACGTTCGCCTCTCAGGATCTCGCTCCCCCTCCTGATGCTGATGGCGACCTGCGGCAGTACGTTTCCCAGCTGAACTCCGAGATCATGGCCGCCATGTCCGCCATGCAGAAGTCCATGGTCAAGCTCCAGCAATCCGTCAGCGCCCATTGCGACGGCCTCAGCCAGCAGGTCGAGCAGCGCCTCGCCAAAGTTGAAGCATCTCAAGCGAACCACTCGCTGCGGCTCGACATCATGGCCCAAGAAATCCAATCGCTCAAGCGAGCCCTCAACATCGTGCAGACTGCTGATCCTCCCCCGCCTGCCAACGCGACGAACAACTTCCAGAGGAAGACCGACCCGTGCATTCTGGTCATCTGAGCCAACCAGCTGGTCACAAAGGAGTATGTCCATGCCGCGGTGACCCCATGGCTCACCGACGCCAACTTCGAAGACAACGCATGGAAGCTCGAAGGAAAGGTGGCAGTGAAGAGGTTTATCGTACGTATCCAGGTAGCAGTTGGCTGGGCTTCCCGCCTTGTCTCTCAAGCTTTGGGATCTATGCGACTCCCTGAAGGGGAATTTCGCCGTCTCCAGGCCCGCATGCCCACGGGCGACCTCACGGACTTGCGCGTTCCCGAGGACAAGAACACGTTCCAGATCCGTGGCGAGTTGCCACCAAGCAGGCCCGCATAACGATTTCATCTTTCGCCCCCAACGTCAAGATGTTCGCGGACAAGTCGTCGGGCATCATCAGTGCTGATTGGAAGCTGCTCATGCGCATCACTCCTCGTCAGTCCGACTCCCCTCGCATCGATTGGGAAGAGCAGAACCTGCAGGCCGTCGGCATCAGGCGCGCCGAGGTTGAGGAGCGCGTCATCGCGTCGATCACCACGCCTGGCCCCGCGCCAGCAGCCCCCGCCCAGTGGCGCGTTTAGCAGCTGGTTCTCACTGACCAGCGGCCATGCCTTTCCAGAGCTTGGGTTCGCCACGCGGAACGCTCGAGCTCCTTTTCATCCTGATCCCATGGCGCGGTCCATGAAACAGCGGCACCTTCAAAATCTCATTCAAGGGTTTCGAAATACTGCCATCCAGGAGGCCCACGGCAGCGACTTCGATGTCTCCGAGTTCCTCCACATGTCCTCCTCAGGGTTCCAGGCTGAAACCAGCTTCTTCGCGGAGCTCAACAATGGCGGCGCGATCGCGCTCGTCCCGAAGCTTGCCAGTTTCCCTGGTGCTGGGGCCTCTGTGGCCTCTTCGGCGCTGGTTCGTGGGCGCGCTCTTCGTATTTTTATCTCGCTAGGTACTCGCTCTGCTGGAAGCGGAGCTTCTGATGAGGACTTTGCTGCTGATCGCCCTAGACATATCATGCACTACAACATTCATAGTCATGGTTTAAGCGTGGATGAGACACGACGTATACAAGCTCAGCTATTAGACATGCAGCACGCAGAGTCCGACCCCGAGCACATCCTCGCCGTGCTCGCATGTGATTTCAACATCTCGCGGGGCCCCCCTCGCTCCGAAGTGCCCAGCTAGAGCGCAGCGGGAGACGACCCTGCGATACCTGAGTGGACGCGGCTTCTCCGCTCGTCGTGGCAACCGATGTTTGGCCAGCCCGGGGAGCTTGACCCGATGGAGCACGCCCACTACAACGGCTGTCGCCGACGCACCTCCGCGATCGACCGCATCTTCGCGTCGTGGCCCGGGTGGATCCTGACCAGCCTCCACCTCTCTTCTGAAGTTCGGGACCTCCCTGCGACTCTTGAGCAACGCAAAATTTCCGATCGCGCCCCTGCGGCTGCCATCTTCCGCGAAAGACCCCCCCCTGGACCCCGAGAACCGCACGATCCCCAAGCACCTCTTCGACCACCCAGACTTCCAGAAGGTCTGCGGACTTCTACTGGGCCTCTATGGATACCTCGAGTCTCTCACCACCCCAGAAGCTCGCCCTCTACAAGATGGTGCTTCGCGAAGGCGCCCGCTACGCTAGGAACGCTCTTCCCGGGAAGGACCCAGATAGCCTCGCCTCCAAGTTGATCCCCATACGTTCTATGTCGCGGGCTGTCTGGCGTCAGGATCTCAGATTAGCTTCGCGTCTTCTTCGTTGCCCATTTGCTAGTGAACGCCTTGAGATTCGAGAAAATGATAGAGCTGCTCTTCGGGATCCTGCACGCTTCTCTCTCGCACTGGACGAGATGCAATTCGCCGACGCGCCGAGCCACCTGAGCTCTGTTCGATCTGCGCTGGGCGCAGCATCTCGTCTCCCATCGCCCGGCGCAGTCGAGGCGAAGCTACGGGAGCGGCTGCGTGACTTGCACCGCCGCGCCAAGTTACGGGCGCCATTCGACAGACGAACAGCGCCCGCTGGGGCGCGAGCCGAAAACAACACAGTCGCATCTTCCCCGCAGGCCATGCTTGAACAGATTGCCACACACTGGGGCCAGGCCTTCCTGCCGAAGTCCATAGATGTGACCGCCGCGAACAGGTGCCTCTCCCGCTTCTGCCCCTCCCCCGACGTCTCTGAGACCCCGCCCCCGAGCCTCAATGACGCGCAGCGGCGCCTTGACCGCCAGCCCCACTCAGCTCCTGACCCCGACGGCCCCCCGCACACAGCTTTCCAGAAGTCTCGGCTTCACGCTGAAATCGCACATGATGTTATGCGTTGGATCTTGGGCCGATGCCGATCGGGTTCAACGATCTCTCGGGGATATGTATTTCGAAAGGCTCCGAGGACGAGGACGCCCCGAGTGGCTGCATCAGGGCCCCCGCTAACTTGCGCCCGTTTGGCTTCAAAAGTACGGATAACAAATTGTAGCAGGGATCATCGTTCAGAAACTCTTCCGCCACCTCCCGCTGATCACGAATTCCTTGCAGAGAGGCTTCATCCCCTCTAGGAACTTTGGCAATAACATCATAGAGTTAGATGCGGCCTCGCCAATCTATTCCACGCCGCAGAATGCGTCGGTAGCCATGCCATATTTGCTCAGCTTCGATTTCCAGCAGGCCTTCCCGAGCGCGGCCCATGAGTGGATCCACTTTGTCCTTCGACAAATGCAGCTACCCTCGTTTATCCGATGGTTCTTCGCAGAACTGCACCGCTGTGTGCAATGCTTCTCCGCGACGATGGCGAGGCACACGCTGCTGTGCTTTGTCCAGAGCGGCAACGTCCAGGGTTGTCCTGGTTCGGGCTTCCTGTTTGCGATATGTGCAGACCCCTCCATGCAGGACTTCGACCGCAGCGTCAACCTCAGGAACTGCGGAATCATCAAAGCCTGCGCCGACGATATCGGAGCAGCGGTCGCTCGCATCGAGGTGCTCAAGGTGCCGTTTCGGACCTTTGCGGTCGCATCGAGAGTCGCCCCCCTCATCTTGAAGGCCAGCAAATGAAAGCTCGCCCCGCTCGCTGCCGAGTTCTCTCCTGCTCTCACCGAACAATACCGTTCCTGGGCCCAGAGACATATTACCGATTGGCGCTCGTTCGATGTCGCGGGGAGTCTGGTGCACCTCGGTCTACGATTAGGACCAGATGCTATGCTTGACAGTTGGACCCCCACCCCTTTTCAGAAATACAAATATCGAACCCACCTTCTGGCCTCGCAAGGATCCCCGTCAACAGTATGCTCTCTGAACTACTCCTCGAGGTGCGTCCCGGTGCTATCATATGTCGCTCAATTTCTACCCGCCCCTGCTCATCTGATTACGTCTGAGCCTGCCCTCCTCGCTAGACTCTGGCGCATCCCCCATTGTGCTGTCCTATCAGCGGCTTATTTTGGCCTGCGGCGTTGGAACGGCCCCCGTTTCCCGAGCCTCCTCCTCCTCTCTACCTCTCCATGCCTCATGCGTGCGAGCCGTGCCACTTTCGACACTTGGAGACCGATGGTCACCCCCTCCAGAGGAGCCGCCGAAGAGCACCTCCCTGTTGTCCAGATCTCGACGGGGAACCCCCCCCCCCCTAGATGCGGCTCACGCTAATTTCCCCCGACCCCTCGGACAAGGCCTGGCCACTTCCTCGCCCGCCTCGATCGACCTCCTTTCCGCTGCCGCTGCTACTGCCTTGTCCTCCCCCCCCATCCCCCGCTCTTTCCCGCGTGAAAGTCCAAGGCCGCCTCCACTCGGCCATGCTCGAAGCCCGTTTTCCCGATCCTTTGATTTTGACGTTCTCGGCTCGGCCCGCCCGATGGCTCCCGCAAACGGAGGTCCAGATCCGAGCATGGCCGCGGGGGGAAGTTCGCGGGGTCCTGATCCATGCTAAGCACGCACATGCTAGTTGTCTTCTCAAGTTTCTAAGCAACGGATGGCCCACGGACCATCGTTTCCAGAAGGGACGGTGCTGCCTTGTGGGCTGCACTCCCTGCTCGTTCGAGCCCGCGCACGACTGTCTCTCCCATTATTGGTCCTGCCCTCGCTTCATCCACTTCTTGTGCTTCATTATGTGCATCCCTTCTCTGCCTGGCTGCCCCATCCGCCGCCTCGGCCTTATCTCGCCCTCGTCCGATTCCCTCCTTGTCCCCGTTGCGGCCACTCTCCTCTACAATATGATTCACAGTCACCGCTCTCTCGCGGTGGTCGCCGCCGACGAGCGCCAGGCCCGAGCGCCGGCGGCAACGTTCCGCTTTCAGCTTCGGCGATTGGCGGGTAGGCGTGGAGCGAACCAAGGTCGCGCAACCACGTGCGAGAAGGAGGAGGAGGAGGAGGAGGAGGGGGAGGGGGAGGGGGAGGGGGAGGAGGAGGAGCAGCAGGAGGAGGAGGAGAAGAGGAGGAGCTCAGAGGAAGGTCGAGGCTTTCCGGGGCGGCTTGGGACTTTTGTGCCGGGACACAAGCAAGACACAAGCCTAAATGTTCGGAGGTCTGCGCGGATCTCTCGGATCTGCGCTGGAGCCCCACAGCGGCGCCTCTGGCGCCGCCTATGGCGCGCTCCGCGCGCCAGGCAGGGGGGCCCAGCGCCGATCCAAGATGCAGTTTGTCTTTCAATTTGGGGTCTCGAGGGGCGTCCTCGTCGCCACGGCTGGATCAACTCCAAAGTTCTGGTCAAAACGCGCCACTGGGCAGGTCCAGGGGGGGCGAGCTTCGGGGAGCAGAGCGAAGGTTGCTAAGAACTGATGCGGCAGGCACGCCAAGTAAAAAATGAGCCCGCCAGCAAAGTGCTCCACGGAAATGTTGTATCATCCGATTGCCTTGGCCCTGGAGGCCCACAAAAGCATTGGGGCGCCCTGGGGACTTCACACGCCGACGATAAGAGTGTCCCCATAGTTGCTTATGGCAGGAAGCTTCCAATCGTATCATGTACTGCGCGACATGTATGGCATCATTCCTTGGAAGCACGTCTGATGTTTGACCGAAGTGCGCCTCTGATCTGGAATCGTTCTTGTTCGGCCAGATATCTAGCTTCAAGCATAAGCGCGCATCCATAATTGATCGGCACTTTTCCATGCAGGCGGAGCGTGCGACTGGAGGCGAAGGGAAGGACCACGAGGGGGAGCAGGAGAAGGGGTGAGGAAAACGGAAGGACGGGGAAAGCACAGGGGGAAAGAAGGGGAGCGATAGGGAGAGGGATGGAAGATAGGATTGGGGGGTGACAGACGTGGAGGAGGAAGGAGGGGATGGCGGAGGAGATACACCAGGGAGGGAAAGGAACGGACAGAGAGAGGCCCAGACATGCGATGTCCTGATTTTTGCTTGAGTGCGCAGTCCCT